CAAATGCGACTGTAGCTTTTTTTCCCAAAACTTTGTCTTCAAAATAAGGGTGCGTCTTATATTCCGAAAAATACGGTAATTTTATGATTTTTCACACACCTAATTAAAACAGTGTATTAAATTCGCTATATATTTAATTATTTACTTCTGATCTATATAGTTAGCTTGCTTTGATCAGGAGTTATTGATAGACCATTGTGACATTGTCTTGATCTTTGACATTCGAACCCCATTAAGTGTTCCTTTGATGACTGAAAAGTGTAGTTTACTGCATTTACGAGGACAGAAGTACCTTGACCTGCCCTACAGAGTAGAAATTTCAATGGTACACCACCCTTGTATACTTGGAAATTGTATAAAGTCAAACTCGTACTGCCTTTTTGTTTATTTATAAGCTTTTTTTTGTTGTTGTTTTGTGTTTTACTAAGTTAGACATTTTTAAAGAGATAAAAATGCAAGTTTCATGATACATCGTTTTTGTAATATATATATGTAGAAACCTTTTCTAGTGCTAACACTAGTTTGTATAATAACTTCCTCGTGTGAAAACTATGATAGTAATATTTTATACTACAGTAAACCAGTCGACGTCTACGATAGCATTAAACTCCAAGAGACTGTTTCGTTAAAAAAAAAACACGATAAGTTGTGCTATACATAAATGTTTTTTCGACATTGTTTAGAAGCTACTCCTCCACCCAGGATGTTGCTGGAGTTTTTACACTGGTAACATCCGTGCAATAACAGGTTATTATGAAATAACAATCAACAGGAAAAACAAATGTGGCACATTGCAAACTCTGTATCACGGTTTCGGGGAAAACTTGCAAGTTAAAATTCGAAGAACTAAACGCGCATGTGAGATTTTATTCCCTTATAAATTCTCCGCAATTTGGAAACGCGACTTAAAAACGAGCTAAATTTAGAAGCTACGTAAAAAAAACAGTAAGTACGAGATTAATGTTTAGTTAATATTGTTTCTAAGTTGTTAGACGGTACTCTCAACTCGGTCTGCTTTGAACATTTGCTGTAATTTCTAAATTATAGAGATCTTATTTTTTATTTGTTTATAAGGCTCACGTATTTCAGTTGGTGACAAGTTACTACGTTAAGTATATTATTCAAGTTTTAACACCATATATTGCGAACCGTGATGTCTGTCACCCGTTTAAAAAACTGCGCACGCAGGCAGTGCTAAACTTTCACTATTGAAATGACAAGAGAACAGGCATGAATAATATTGATGGCAAATTGTATTTCGCAAGCAGGATATTCTACACTAAATTGTTAGGAATTAATCGCACTATCATTCACATTTCAAAATGCGACGTAACTTAAATAATACAAATGTAGGCTTACCGTACGTTATTGTCGAACGGCTCTTAGCATGACTGAAATACCTAATTTTCATTCCTGTAAGCAGATAGGGGTAAGGAAAGTAATATATATATGTTTACTTCTAAATTGTTGTTTAGTTAGACTAACTAATATATTTGTTGTGTATTTTTAAATGTGTTTTGTCCAGTTAAACAAGCTATCATACGTCTTGTTTTTTTCACACAGTTAATCACCCTTTGCAAAGATCGTCCAAAGAATTCAGTTACCCAAAGGTTGTTTAAATATTGAAACTACACCATGGCGTCTTGTGATAAGAACCAAGTATGTTTAAATTTATTCTTTAAATCATAAAATGTCTCTTAGGAGGTAAATTGTGAGTTTCTAGAGATCTTTGTTTATTCTTTAACCCTTTTAGTAGAATGTTTGTATTGCTAAAATAAAAACAATGACTAGAGTAACCTAAGGAATGCTTTAACATAATGTTTTGGGACAACATGGGACCTATTGGTCTATCTTGGCTGTTCCATCCTCTAAACTAAATTAAAATAATTTTAAAAATCTTAAAGCCAGCCCTTATTGTTCATATATCTATTGTTGCGTATCTGCTCATTTGTTAATTTCTGGTATAAATTCTTTCCGAGGAACTTTGGCGATACTAGGCCTTTCTTAATTAAAACTGTTTATTCTTTCTTGATTCAAATTTTAATAATACACATAATTTCCACAGTCACTTTAAATTTAACAACCTTTATAACACACACTATAAATCACAGTGGTTCACACACTTTACTTGCGGTTCCTACGGTTCCTACTGTTCGCTTGACTCAATTATCTCTACCTTCAATCTATCTCTATCTCTCTATCTCTTATATCGCGCTGGTTTTTCTCGCCAGGCTTATATACTAAAAAAGAGGGCGTCTAGCAAACACTGGGACATTCACGAGGTTCCCCCATAAGTCACGATCCTTCTAGAAACTCATCACGTGCTACCAGCGTCACGTGACTTCCGCTGTCGTAACACTGCCCCTTTCTTAGTATTGTTCATCCCGAACAATAGCCACTTACATTAAACCAATAGATAATTAACAATAACTTTATTAAATGTACAGAACTTACAAACAAAATTAAAGTACAACAAAGTCTCCTAATTTTACAGGATGTATCTTCTTCCATACTGGCCTCCGTCTCATTGGCTTCTGCTTCACGTGGGGTTCATCTGCTCCATCAGGAAATGTCCCATTATCGGTAACAGTCACATCAGTGGTACTAACTTCATTAATGGCTTCATTGTTTTCCTTCTCAAAACCGGATAGAGTTTCTTCTTCGACAATGGCTTTTTCAGGTGACACGTCTTCAGCAGCGTCATTTGCTCTGTTGTTCACTTCGTTCCAACTGAAATGACCTGGACTGTGATAACGCCAAAGCCTGTTGGCATGCGCCACCTTTGGCTTACCTCGCCGACCACATTTTATTCGAAAAGTCACATCTGAGAGATGATCCACTAT